GTATATGTATGAATCAAGCAGAAAAGGTCAGATAAGGTGATGTTAGGAAAGTGACCCCTAAGATATGTATTTTAAATTTTTTTTCTTTCATGCATTTGTTTCTAATGCAATTATTAGATAATTTCTTTGTTGCTTTGTATGTCCCTCCCCCACAGTATAACCCCTGCTTTTACTGTATTTGATGTCGGTATAATTTGTGTAGGGAAAGGGGAAAAATAAGTCGTTTAAATAAGGGTACAGGTGGACCTGTTGCAACAATGAGAAGTACAAGTTGTCATGTCAAAAACGAACTTTACAACTTGGGGGGGGGGAGGATTTGGTGGGAGGGGGAGGATAGGAAGGGATGGGAAGGGTAAACAAAGGAGGAGGCTACAATGCTTGATAAGAAATGTACTATCTTGCCAATGTAATTGTAACCCCTCTGTACAGTATTCTCACAATAAAAAAAAAGAAAAAAAAGAGAAATTTTTTTAAAGTTTAATGTAGTGCTGGATTTTAACATTGGGGCTCTCTCATGCTAAATAAACCTTCTAGTGCTGAAATTTGGTCTTTTAAATGAACAAAACACAATAAAATACATAATTATGTTGCATAAGTGTTTTATTAATATCTATATTAATGGATAAGAAAACATGCAATACAGAACTTGAAATAGAGCAATTAATACACACATTTGCCACTGGGCTACATACTGCCCTACAGGGCCAGATAATATCCAACCTTTTCACTTGCTAGAACTACCTTGGGGTACGGTTCACTTTCAAAAGCTGTATGATGTCACACTACATACTGCCCTACAGGGCCAGATAATATCCAACCTTTTCACTTTTGAGAACTACCTTGGGATACAGTTCACTTTCAAAAGCTGTAGGATGTCACAGAGAACGATTCCAAAATACAAACATAAATACATATCTCATAAATATTTTAAGTAGGGACAGCATAAATTTCACAAATTTTATTTCTAAAAATAAAAAATATTACATACAATCACTAAACAATTGCCTTCATTTTTTTCATTTGTGCACACACATTTTTCTGAGCAGCCTTTTCATTTCCACTCCTGCTGTTGTCAAACTTGCACTGCTTAAAATAGTATATTCATGGAAAGCACATGGATGGTTGATGTAAGAAAGCTACTATGAATAAATATTTTAAGGCCTCTATGTAACATCTTGTGTGGTAATTGGCACATAATGTAAAGTTTCCTGTCCAAATATAGTTCAGCTTCTCTTGTTCCCATGTTTTCCAGGCCATTTAGACAAGTTGGAATTACCAAAATAGTGTCCAATGACTGTGAATGAAGATTTTCCTAAACATAATTTTAATTTGGCTTTCAAAAAAAGTGAAAGAAGAAATAAATAACCATGGTAGAAAATATAAATCAGAAAAATGTAAATAAAGAAAAGCCCAAATAAGCATATTAGAAGATATGTGAACATCCAGCCTTAACACAAATAATAAAAAATAATGTTGAAATATGCCTGTGAGTAAAAGCCACTTATTTTTCCCAAGACCAAAAGGAATTTTTCACATTTGTCATGTTTACATTTTAAGGACTGCAAAATTTGTAATTTTTTTAATTTACATTTTTCCCTTTAATGAAAGTGTGTGACAAATACTTGTTTGGGAAGGCAGAGGCTCTTCATAACTGTCACCATTACACAATAGCACTAATGATTTACGTTCATTTTTTCTAACCAAATATATATAATTAAAATAAGATGTTAAGTTACTAAATGAGACTACACAAAATGTACTCTCTAAATGATTACATTGTTGGCATCATAAATAAAAGATACTTTTCGTACACTGACACAGTATTAGTTAAAACTGGAAGATAAAGCTCAAGAAATGAAAAATGTATGTATTTAGCATATGAGATACAATGTGTGAATACATACTTACACATGTGGTATATTAAAATCTATAGCTAGAAAAATTAACAATGATAATTTAACTGAATATGGCCACAAAACCAAAAAAAACAGGCTGGGTGAGCATAATAATAAAATATCAAATAATTCCATTTGAAGTTCTAATTTCAAACCAAATCAAATATTTCCTTGAGGGAAACATTTTTGATTATGGAAATTAAGACTTGTTGCAATTCCAAAACTACGTACTTCGCATATCAGAAGAGCCACCTGTGAGCTTTGTGCACCTATAGCTCTATCCATCCATTGAAAGAATTTGAAGGATGATGAGAAGGATCTCATCAAATCAGAAGCCATGGAAGTTATATACTTCCAAGGCCACACCTAGCAGAAGCTTAGAAAGAGAATGCATAGGGGAGAATTACTGGGCTCACACCCCTTGCCTCTTTGGCTACATCTAGCCTGCTTCTATTCAATTCCCCTCTGGTAGGAAAACAGAAGAGGGTGCCCAGTCTTTAATATTCTAAACACAATCTAAATCTGATTATAAAAATCAGAGTTAGAAAGGGCAACAGAAGCATGCTTGTTCATTCCTATATATCTAGGAAAGGTAACAAAACTTTACCAATTTTTAAACATAGGGATTTAAGAGCCTTTCTGGTAATTCAATTTTTCTCTCCATCAGAACAAAAATTGCCGAATATTGAATTTTGATTCCTATTCTGATTTCCATTATCAAAATTTTTAATTACTCAGATTACTGAAAAATTATTCAATAATTAGTCATCTCTCTTCATCTCTTTTTAAATTTGTGTGTGTGTAGATTGTTACTAAACTAAATGTGTGGAGAGAAAGGAATGTAAAAGTAACTAAGAAGAAAGAAATCTCACGCACATTATCTTTGCAGGGTGATTTTGGGAGAAAAACATTCTAAAATCTACTGGAAGCACTGATTTTGCCATTCTGGGTTACTTTATCTTCCCCAGCTTTTGAATTTTCATAAACAATAACATTACCAACAACAATATCAATACACAGACATGATTTTTTTTTCAATAAAGTTTTGAACATCATTAGTGCTTTAGGATTCATGTGCACCTGGAAAACCAGAGTTCTGGTAATCCCTTGGAAAACTAACAAACACAAAGGAGAAGTAAACACAATTCATTTAATTTGAAATTTCACAAATTAAACTCAAATTGTTAAAAGTTAAGAAGTTATTCTACATACCAAATCAAATGCAAGCTCAAGAGTTTCACAATGGGAATGTTATACTTTCAAGACGCTACTCAACCTGCCGGGTGCATGAAGAGAAGCTTTCTCAAGTTTCAGTGGAAACCTTCACCAATGGAACTATATATTTACCACAGCTTATATTACAACATTTACACACAATTTAATCATAAATTATATATCTTCAGGTTACACATTACAAAGTCTACATCTAGTTTAATCAAAAAGAAATATTCAGTCCTCCCACCCCCAAAAAACATCAATTATTTCTTGGTTTTAGTGTTATACTGAAACTAGACACTTTCTTGATTTTTTTTCCCTATGGAAGAAAATTAAGTTGGAGGTGTTTCCAGAAATTCATGAAATTTGCACATAGAAGATAATGACCAGTTAATCAGATCAAAACAGAATATAAAGAACAGATATCAAAAGGAAACTAATGTTTCCTAGGAATACTTCAGTATTCTTCGTTTAGGACTTATTTTGTTTCATATGTAAGATTTCATTGGTCTTAGTTTTGTGTGTTATAGGGATGTTTCCTATTCACCCCAATGAAGCAGTCATGAACCTTATTTCTCCCTCTGCAAATCTTGAAATTTTCTGTTGTAATATACTTAGTGTAGATTTATAATTTTGGTTTTTAAAATGTTCCTTCCTTTCATCTTGTTTTCGGTGGTTTTCTTCAGTGAATTGAGCTAGAATGACAAAAATCCCTTAGTCTTATGCACTTTATATAGGGGTTATCTACAGTTTCATTTATTCTTTTTATTCAGTATCTCTCAGTAACAGCATATTGAGCTGTTACATAGACATTTAAATCTTTCCAGGTGTTAAAATAGGAGTTTATGGTAATTTGTAAATTAGGCATTGATGCATCCACCTTCCTTTTGATTATTATATACAAATTCCAGAAGATAAATTCCCAATTAGTAATGAAATTTAGGCTTGCCATGACAGATATAATATCATCTCTAATGTATTTTATACTACACTACAAAAGGTACGTACATATATTATATACATATTTACATGTATATACATTTTAAAGCAGGCCCTTTTGGTAAACAGTTGCCTAATGTGGGCACAGATATTGCACTTCAGTGTCTCGAACTCTACTAAAGAGTAGAGAATTAGGTTTAGCCTTACATCTGTACAATTTATATATGTTCATTCAAGAAAATGTATATACAATCAATACCAATATATTCTTGAATTAGTGGTAGAAAACAAAAAAACAGGGATAGAGACAGAATCTGTAAGAAGTGTTTGTAATACCTATTGTGAGTTTCAGAAGTTAGAAACATGAACACAAAGAAACTGATGACATTAGGCAAATCTTAATCAAATGGACAAAAACATGTTAAAGTACTTATACCTTCTAATGTTACCTGAAAAAAAGTTGAGATAAACTAAAGGTAAACTCAGATAATTAGATATCTACTAGCTTTCCATTTGCTATGTACTGGTCTATAAAAATTAGAATGGATAAAATCAGTAATATTTCACACGGTGTTAAAAATTTTAAGAAAATGACAGTATATCAGAAATAGTATATAGTAAATATTAATATCTGTCATGAGAAGATTTTTTGTACAGAGGGATATTAACTAGATTCTTTGTTTCGTTCACATCTTGAATTAAGCTAATTGTAAATATATTTTTAAACTTTTGACTAAGGATCTAGCTCAGGATTTATCCTGGTATCTGTTTCTATTTACAGAAATATTTACAAACAACAATTTTGAATATTCACTGAAAGTGCATAAAGTCGATAAACCTTTAATATATATGTATCTATATGTGTATATATGAATACATATTTCACACAATATGTGTGTGTATATATATACATATATATCTGTCTGAAAATGGTAAATACCCATTTCAGCTTTACAAGGGATGTTCTTCCATAATGGGGGAATCACTTCTAGAGTGTCTGGCCTGCTGACCTGAAGTGAAGGTGGTCAAGGGAATTACTTTAATTGAGTCATCACTTTTGTGAAGTTTTTCAGACATGGTGTAAAACTGAGCTCTTGTACTACCTTGCCCTCCCTGATCAAGGAAATGCAGTCCATCAGCCCCAGCACCTTGCACCCAACCTTGTTGTAAGCCCATTGGTGGCTGTGCCTGGTTGTGATGGAGGGTAGCAGCCTGTGGCAGGGGAGAGCTGTGATGGGTTGCAGCACCCTGTGCAAGGGGTGGGCTATAGCTGAGGGCTGAGGCCTGTGTTGGTGGTGGGCTGTGGCATAGCGCAGTAGCTTGTACTAGAGATGGACTGTGCTGGAGAACAGAAGCCTGTATTGGTGGAGGGCTGTGGCACAGTACCATAGTATGTGTCACTGGAGAGCTGTGGCAGAGAGCAATGGTCTGTGTCACTGGAGGGCTTCGGCGGTGAAGTGATGACCGCGTCAAGGTTGGGCTGTGGCACAGAGAAGAGGCCTGCATCTGTGACGGGCTGGAATGAGTTAGAGAAGCTGGCATCCAGCAGGCATCAGAGTGGCCCAAGATAAGACATTCTTGAGTGCATTTGTCAGAGGCTTCTTCCACAGTTGGTTGAACTGTTATTTCTGCAGCTGTTGAGGTGGGAGAAACAAGAGATAAAATTTATATTCCAAATGCATATTTTGTTACCTACTTAAAACAAATCATATTGTTACAGCAAAAGTTAACATTTTGATTCAGTACATCAGAGACTGCCAAAAAGTTTCACAGTTGGTTCTTGATTTCTCAGGAAATAATTCTGTGAGAAACAAAAAGTAGGAATGAAGGATAGGATTTTTTTAATTTGTAAAAGGCAGTGGAATATAATAGAAAGGCTAGGGACAGTCAAGGTGAAAATATTTGTGAAGAATTTGTATAAGACAAGAAAACCTAATATTAAGCAAAAAAATCAAAGACCCAGTTAACACTTGTGCAAAAGATATGGATACTTCATTAAGGAAGATGTAAGTATGTTCCATCAACTATGAGAAAAGACTCATCACTACTGAACAATAATGGAATACAAATCAAATCTACAAAGAGAAACACAGATTTCTAACAATACTAATTTCTGACAAGTATTTGGAGCAACTGAAACATACGAAGAATGTGGGTGATAATACTAAAGGGCACAGGAGGATTAGATGACATCTGGTCAATATTTTATAAATATAAAAACACATTGCCAAAAAAGAACCCCAGTAATTCCAGTTTTGTATGTTTTCCCTACCAATGTTAAACTCATGACACTATAAAAACATGTATGTGCAGGTTAAACAGCTTTATTAATAACCACCAAACATTGGAAACAACTCTGTCTTCCACTGTTAAAAAGATATTGTGTTGCACCCTTATAATGAAATACTATTTATCAATGGAAGGAAACACAGTAATGAACTCCAGAACAATATGAAGGAAACACAAATGAATTTTAACTGAAAGAAGCGAGAAGTAAGAGCTTATATAATGTAAAGGTAATTTACATAACATTATGTAAAGAGAAACTTGTAAACATATTAATTGCCAATGGTTAGAATGGAAGAAGATTTGAATAGTAGCAGATGAAAATTTTAGGGTGACATTATCTTCTAGCATGTAATGATGGTGAATACGTAATATATTTGCCAAAACTAGTAGAACACAAGTGAATTTTACTGTATGGAAATATAAAAAGTAGCCATGAGTATTTTCCAAGTATTGAGAAAACACATATATGTTTCAGAAACTCAGAGAATTGAACTCAGAACCTTATGTTTGCTAGGCAAATGTGCTACTAATTGAGCCACACACACAGCTAATTTTGCTTTGTTTAGTTTCTTTATCAGATAGTGTCTTGGGTTTATTGTTGAACGGCAATCCTACTTCTACCTCCCAAAAGCTGGAAATAGTCATATGAAACCATGTGTAAACAAGAAAAAAAAAAGTATATGTTTTATAAATCATCTATTACCTTCTATACCCCATTCAGGATTTTCTATAAAACTATTCTGATTATTATATTAAAATATAAGACTTATAGGCTGGGAAGGTGACTTAGTGGTAGAGCACTTGCCTTGCATGCCTGAGACCCTGGGTTCGATTCCTCAGCACCACGTAAGCAAAAAGAAAAAAGCCGGAAGTGGCGCTGTGGCTCAAGTGGTAGAGCGCTAGCCTTGAGCTGAAGAGCTGAGGGACAGCCCCCAGGCCCAGAGTTCAAGCCCCACAACTGGACGCCCCCCCAAAAAATAAGACTTAGAAATGGTAAGTAGAATTACTATAAATGTTATAAAACATTGTAATAGTTTTCATAATTTGACAATTTTTTTGTTTATCATAAAAATAAGTTTTGAAATAGTATTGTAGATAAGCATATGACACTACATGTAAAGTGCTTATAAAATATAAAATATATCATTCTTCAAATTATATTTTGGTATAAAAAATAGTACCTTAACTTCTTTCAAAAATTCACCTTCACAATAATTGAAAACTTATCTTACATTTTATTACATAAATATAATTTATTAAAAATCTCTTCATACTAATGATTTATAACATATGCCAATTTAGTATCACATTTTGGTAAGAATCTAGAGCTTATTGATATATTTTGTCTTAAAATCTTTTCCCACCAAATGATAAGGTATTTTCATACTGAAAACAATTGTGATTAAAAGAATACTTCTCACAATTAAAAGCAGTGAAACCATATATTGAGAGCTACCAAATACAATTATTATATACAGATTGATGGAGAGATTGAATACAATATATGCCTACAATTTATAAATAATAATCTTCAGCTAATAAGTTTAATCTCAATTGCAGAATAGCTGAGTGAAAATTTCTGGTTTAAACTGAGATACGTTTTATATAAATCACATCTTATATGTCTATTAAAATGCACCAAATACTAACCCAATTTTAAACAAATCATATAAAAAGAAGAATCATTATCATTGTAAAAATTTCAAATGTGAGTAAATACTATAAAAATACTCTTAAAACATTTTATTTAGTAAACTGTACAGTCTCTTTCTGTTAATGAGTTTAACATGTTACTTTCCAAAGAGCAATTAACTTGGTAAAAATTCAAAATAATATATTTTATGAATTAGTGGGGTTCAAATTAATATGTGAGACAACATTTTCTGTGGGTTTCTATAACTCATTAATAATATTTAGAATTGATAAAATGAATATTAATCCTAGGGAAATATGTATCCTCATATATCACTAAAGTAGTCAGTGTATATCACAATGTTTTTTTCTGCTACAAATGCCATTAAACAGATGATCACTTCATTATGTTTAAAAGTCCAACTAAAATTATGATTTAAATTGTAGCCAAATTGTCCCAACATAAAAATCAGTGGAGTATACTGAGAAGATGAAACATATAGCAGGGTAATAAAAATAGCTATCAACAAAGAATATATCATAGAGAAGTCTACCATAATATCCTCCTAGGAAACCATCTGCAAGCCAACTGTTACCATATGTAGTCATCCAGAAAGAAGGATGAAAATGACAGTAGATTGAAATATATTTTTAGCACAATGAAATGAGAATTACTGTCAGAATAGAACTCATTTGCTTTGGCTCAGAGACAAAATGTGCTCTTATGATATTAAATACATTTGGACAAAACTCTTCCTTTATTGTGAATGCTTATAATTACTGTGTGAAGTTTAAATTGCTTTTCAGAACTATCTATTAACTCATGTTTATTTAATTGGCTGGTATATATTATGTGTTTCAAGACATAGTGGAGCCAATCTTAGTCTTTCAAAATTCTGATATTAAGTTCATAGATCTGATTAAATGTGCTTTTGTGATATACCCTATCATTCTCTAACATTCATTAATTTGAAGACAAATACATATTTTATAGACACTATTATTAATGCAATCTCAAAGTAGGATTAAATGTTCATTATACAAATATTTCCAATCAAACTGTTCAATTTAATGTTTCTGTTAATCTGTGATAGCAAATTTCACGACAGAGGTCTTACAAAGATCATTTGATTAATGTTCAAAGATGAACTCTCATGAAAACGAATGAGAAATTGCCACAAACTTGCTTTTGATCTCTTATCTCTTCCTCTTTCAGAAGTTTTCAAAGTGCTTTAGTGAATGTTCTCAATGTTATCTTTTAAAAGTATATCAGATTATAACCAGTATGTTCATTCCATCAAAAATCAAACAACTTTCTCACCTGAAAAGTTCATCACTTGGTTCTCTCAGGACAATAACAGGCATATATGACTCATGTACTATGTTGACACACTAAAATTGGTCTAAATGTGTAAAAGAATAATTTTAAATACTGAAAAATATTTAACCTTTAATTTTTAGCCTTTTATTTGAAGTTCTATTCATGTAAATTGATTATTTTGCTTAGTTATATAACTAAAATAGCCAGAGTTGCCAACTGAAATACATACTTGAATATATACTTTTGAATAATAACTGTCAATGAGAAAATTAGTTCCATTGTTTAGCACTTGTAGTTCACCAATAAATACAATACTTTCTATACTATCAACCTTTTGAGATCTAAGAAAATGAACACATGCACTCTAGATTACCATGATTCTGGTAACAATAGCCAATATGAGAATTGTTATTCTCTTTAAATGAAAACAGTTTTTTGAGTGGGCATACTGGGAGTTTGAGGCAGGAAATCATGAATTTCAGATAAGTCTGAGGTTCATAGCAAGACCCTATCTAAAATAATAAATAAAAATAAACAAAAGTTATGTTTGATGAAAATATGTTATGCTTGATAGAGGAGAAACCAGCCACTGAATTACTTCTGCAATTCAAAATAATGCCATGAGTACTATTATATATCAATCTTGAGAATATAATTTTTTTGCCAGTATTGTGACTTAAATTTAGTTCCTTAAGCTCTCATTCTGATTTTTTGCTCCAGGCTGTTCCACGTTTGTTTTTTTTTTATTAGAAATATTACACTAATGGACTTTTCTTCCTGGGCTGTTTTCAAAGTTCCATCCATAACTCTCATCCTCCTTAGTTGTTTGGATTACAAGTATGAGCCACCACTTCCTCAAATATAAAATATTGTAAAACATAGGAATCTATCCAAAATTAAAATAGAATGTATGTAAGTGTCTTTTCTTAAATTTTCTTTATCATTTCAACATAGAGGTATGGAAAAAATGGTGCAGACAACTCTGATGAAGAGGCAATGATAATTTGATACAGAAGACTACAATATTAAGACTACAATATTAAGATTTGGGATATTGAGATTTGGTACTATCTACAAAGTATTGTTTGTATTTGGCTTGTGAGAATGGGAAGGAAATGTTTTCTATTGCTGATGGTTGGGAATTTTAATATCATTGAGAAGTTTAAATTATAGCTGGGATCTATGACATACTGAAGCCCCAGTAGGAACAAGTCCATCATCCTTTGGTATGTCTCTCAATACTTTTGAGTTTTGTAAATTTATCAGATTCAAGAATTTATTTGGGAGGTAGATAAAAGTCTTTTGGTCTATGGCAATCAACAATATAAAGTGTACAGAATTATTAAGACAAATAATTATAGTTTCCTTCATGCAATATTTCTGATCTATTTG